CCCCAGCCCCCAGTAGTCAGGGTCAAGGCAGCCACCTATGGGCTGATGTCACAGCAGGCCTTCAGCCAGATCCCGAGTCTGTTTTCATTCCTGCTCCATGAGACAGGAATAACTAATGAGAAACAGAGAGGGGCAGGGAGGAACAGTGGAGGGACAGAGCTGCTTGCCTGTCAAACCTGTGCCCCCACCCCGAAGCTGGAACCCTATGTATTCCTGGACTGTGCTCCTGACAAATGCCTTTAGTGCCTGGGGCCCGGCTCTCCTCTCTCTTCTTCCCTCTCTGAAAAAGGAAAGCTTAGGTAGCCCTTGCCCGTGTGTGCAGAGCCCCCTCCTTGGTGGGCAGAGTGTCATTTTGAAGTGGCCCAGGAAGGGCCTGGGTGTGCCATCCAGATGCAGTGCTCCGAGGTTCCCCTAGGGCCTCTCCCAAGGTATCCTGATGCAGTGGGAAGAGCACAGAACAGTAGACAGCTTAGGTCCAATTCAGATCTTGGCTTTGCCACTGACTGGCTCTGTGACCTCAGGCAAGCCATGTAATCTTTCTGAGTTCTTCTGTAGAAACAGGGATAGAACGCATCGTGTACTCAGAAATGCTTGTGGACAAATATGCCTTGCAGCAGGGAAGAGGTAGAGCAGAGGGCTACAGAAGGAGTGGAGTCCTAGAATACTGGTTCTAGGTGCCCAAGACTGGCCCTCTGGGCTTTGAGAAGCCGCCGGCTTAGCTGGGGATGAATTACGAGGAGGGGAAGGCTTAGTCAACACTGTATGTCCCTGACCCTCCTCCTTCCTCATCCTCTGAGTTAGGACAGCCTCTGTGCCCCTAGACTGCCCTACTCGTACAAGCCCCAGGATTTTTGCATATGTTTCCTTCTCCTTCCTGCTAACTGCTAACAGCCCCCAAGGCTTAACTTAGGTCATCTTTTCAAGCAGCCTTCTTTGACAGAATTTCCAGCCTGAGTCCCTTCTTTGCAGTGCCTGGTGCTTACCTCACTGTAGAACGTACCATACCACATTGCATCGGCTGATTTATATATCAGTGATCCCCTCTGAGCTGTGGGTACCTCCAAAGAGTAGGAGCTGTAGCTGGTTCACCTCCATATCCTCAACTCCATATACTGGGACTGGCATATGGAAGGGCCTAACTGAATAAATGAATGAGGGAGGGAGGGAGTGAATGAAGATATACTCAGGGTCAGATACTGAAAGGTTAAGGGGAGTTGGTTGGTAATGGGGGCCCTGGCTCCCCCTCCTGGGAACCAGATAACTGGTTAGAGGACCCTCAGCCTTGCCCAAGACTATGTCAGGTCTCTAGAGCTGTGATTTGGTCCCACACCCATTAATATTTACATTGACTTGTAATTTTATTCCTTTCTTTGTACGATTATTTGAATAGCATCCATGTCCCTATTAGACTGAGCTCTTTGAAGCAGCGGCTGTCTCTGTTTTTGCTCATCACCAACTCCTAGTGCCCAGCACAACACCTGGTACATAGTAGATATCCGGCAAATATTTGAAGAATGAATGAATATTGGAGAGAAGGAGCCCTCCACCCCAAGCCAGATCCGGGATCAGTGTGCTAAGGGGAGAAATGCAGAAACCACGTTCCCTTCACAACTTGCATTCTCTACCCCTTAATAAGGTTCTGTACCCTCACTGCCTTCAAACCACCCAGGCCCCAGCAGGAAGTCCCAGGAAGTGGACCAGGGCCTGGGCTAAGCCTGCAGCAAAATGTCTAGCACCCTGTGAGTAGAAAGGGGTTAGTGGATTTCCCCAAGTGCCTTGGTTTATTCGGTTCCTGCTATGTATGCATCAAGCACTATTCAGCATTTTCCTATCTTTTCCTATATTTTATTTAAACTTCTAATTTTAACTTTTAAACTACTAATAAAAATATTAGCTGATATTTTTTAGTACATCCTATGATCTTGGCACACCCTTTACATTTATTCACTGACTGAATGTTTGTAACCATCTCATGAAGTTGGACGGATTACTATACCTTTTTACAGATGAGGGCACTGAGGCACAGAGAAGTCAATCTGCCCAAGGTCACAGACTAGGAAGCTGGGCTTTGACTCTAAGTCTGCAGCCCTTCCCACTCACTACCCCACAGTCACCCCAGCTTTCCAGGTTCTAATTCACGGTCTGGCCACGCAGGTTTAGATCTAGGGGCTGCTGTGCAGGTCCCTCTCCCTGGGGCCACCCTGGAGGAGGGGGATACTGTCAAGGGCTGAGTACAGCCTAGAGCACCTTACTTTCCCTACCTGTCCGTACTCTGAGGTTAGGCACAGCGAGGGGCATGAAAAGGGTCATTTGGGCTGCAACTACCCCTCTGAGGCAGATGGGATAAGGGAGGTTCGCCAGAGCTGCCCCTCCCCCAGCCTCAATACCTCCCCCCGCCGCCCTACTGGCTTCCCTCTTCAAGCACTAACTTGAAAGATCTAATTTTCTGCCCCCAGGAGTGTGTAATTAAGACTGGGCAGAGTAAGACCTCACTACCTCTCATTCCTTATCTGCTGCCAGAAAAGCCAGACAGACCCCTCGTGAGTACCCTCATTCTTTCTCTGCACTAACCACTCCCCACCCCTCCTTGCACTCCTGCT